GATGAAGGAGGGAGATGTGGATGAAGGAGAGAGCTGTGGATGAAGGGAGAGCTGTGGAGAGAGAGCTGTGGATGAAGGAGGGAGCTGTGGATGAAGGAGGGAGCTGTGGATGAAGGAGGGAGCTGTTGGATGAAGAGGGAGCTGTGGATGAAGGAGGGAGTGTGGATGAAGGAGAGAGCTGTGGATGAAGGAGAGAGCTGTGGATGAAGGAGGGAGCTGTGGATGAAGGAGAGAGCTGTGGATGAAGGAGAGAGCTGTGGATGAAGGAGAGAGCTGTGGATGAACGGGGGGAGCTGTGGATGAAGGAGAGAGCTGTGGATGAAGGAGGGAGCTGTGGATGAAGGAGAGAGCTGTGGATGAAGGAGAGAGCTGTGGATGAACGGGGGGAGCTGTGTGTGACGGCGGTGGAATAAACGGACTGGAACCCTGACCCGTCTTCTCCGCGTGTTTGTCAAAGAGAGCCTCCGCTCCGCACGCATTCACTGGACGATGCCGGCTGCGGCTGCCACCGTCTCTGCATCCGCACCTCCACAACACTGCACAACAGACTCGCACGAAAGCACGACTCGAAGCGACGTCCGTGTCGTGCCGTTCGTTTATTGCACAGCGTTCCTTCATTCGCGTTTTTTTGCTCAGGCGCGCCGACCCCTCTTGACCAGCGCGCCACAGACTCGCTCAGCCCGTTGTCTGGGCTACGGCAGCGTAGGGGGTCAGGGGTGGCGAGGGTCAGGGGTTAGAGGTAGAGTTATCGCGAGTCGCGTTCGCAAGGGGTTGGGTGGCTGGTGCCTGCGTTACTGGGCTAGTCGGGGTCAGGGTTCGAGCCGGGGTCAGAGTTCGAGCCGGGGTCAGGGTTCGAGCCGGGGTCAGGGTTCGAGCCAGGGGCAGGGTTCGAGCCGGGGTGAGGGTTCGAGCCGGGGTCAGGGTTTGAGCTGGGGTTATGGTTCGAGCCGGGGTCAGGGTTCGAGCCGGGGTCAGGATTTGAGCCGGGGTCAGGGTTCGAGCCAGGGTCAGGATTTGAGCCGGGGTCAGGGTTCGAGCCAGGGTCAGGATTCGAGCCGGGGTCAGGGTTCGGGCCGGGGTCAGGGTTCGAGCCGGGGTCAGGGTTCAGTGCGAGCGGCGGGTTTTACAAACCAGGGTTTGGGTTGGATCCAGAGTCGTGGCGATGTCGCAGTGAGGGCCACGGTTTAGAGCCGAGGTCGGGGTCAGGGTCAGAACCAGTGTCACCATAACCCCTAACCGGTGGGGGTCAGTGGGGGGTAGGGCTGTGGTGGTAGGTGGGGGCTGCAGTGGGGGGGGGGGGTGGCACGGTGGGGGAAATCCCGTGGTGGCTGGAGGCGAGGCCACGGTGGGGACCATGGTGGGTGGGTGGGGTTGGGTGGGCAGGGGGGGGGAGACCCCATAATAGTGGTGGTGATGGTGGTGATGGTGGTGGTGGTGATGGTGATGATGGTGGTGGTAGTGGTGATGGTAGTGATGGTGATGATGGTAGTGGTGGTGGTGATGATGGTGATGATGGTAGTGATGATGGTAGTGATGGTGATGATGATGGTAGCGATGGTGATGATGGTGGTGATGATGATGATAGTGGTGGTGATGGTGGTGATGGTAGTGGTGATGATGATGGTAGTGGTGGCGGTGATGGTAGCGGTAGTGGTGCTGGTGATGATAGTGGTAGTGATGGTGGTGATGATGATGATGATGATGGCAGTGCTGGTGATGGTGCTGGTGGCGCCGTGTCTAGGCGAGGCTGCTGGCGGCGGCCTGCACGGTGAAGGTGGCGACCGCGAGGTTGCGCCGCGTCTCCGTCAGCGCCGCCGCCGCGTCCGCGATGAACAGGGAGTCGTAGACGCCCGGGAAGGCCTCGCCAGCGTACTTGTTGTGGCTGCTCGGAGCGAACACCACGTGCCTGCGGGGGGGGGGGGGGGGGGGGGCGTCGTTACCACGGTCGTCATCATCACCACCACCGTCGTCACCATCGTCGTCACCACCACCGTCGTCACCACCACCACTACCGTCACCATCGCCATCGTCATCACCACCACCGTCGTCAACACCACCACCATCAACGTCACCACCACCATCAACATCACCACCATCGCTATCACCACCATCATCATCGTCACCACCACCGTCAACATCACCACCACCATCATCATCGTCACCACCACCATCAACATAACCACCATCGCTATCACCACCATCATCATCGTCACCACCACCAACGTCATCACCACCATCGTCACCACCACCATCGACACCACCACCAACGTCACCACCACCAACGTCACCACCACCATCGACACCACCACCATCACCACCATCATCATCGTCACCACCATCATCATCATCATCACCACCACCATCATCATCGTCACCACCATCATCATCATCACCACCACCATCATCATCATCACCACCACCATCATCATCGTCACCACCATCATCATCGTCACCACCACCAACGTCACCACCACCATCGTCACCACCACCAACGTCACCACCACCATCGACACCATCACCACCATCATCGTCACCACCATCATCATCATCACCACCACCATCATCATCGTCACCACCATCATCATCATCACCACCATCATCATCGTCACCACCACCATCATCGTCACCACCACCATCATCATCGTCACCACCACCATCGTCACCACCACCATCGTCACCACCGCCGCCACCACCACCACCGCCACCACGGTCGTTACCGTGCCAGCGCGCGCCGGCGCTCACCGGTAGAACGGCCGTCCGGGAAGGCCCAAAGGGTCTGTGAAGGACCTCTCCAGCAGCATGAGGCGGTCGTTGGCCATGCGGAGAGACATGACACTGGGGCACAACGGGGGGGTGGGGGGGTGGTGGGAGGGTGGGGGGAGGGGTGGTTGGGTTGGGGGGTTGGGGGGTTGGGGTTGGTGGGAGGTGGGGGGTGGTGGTGGTTGGGGGGTGGGGGTGGTAGGGGGGGTGGGGGAGGGGTGGTGGGGGTGGGGTGGTTGGGGGGTTGGTGGTCGGGGGGGGTGGCGGGGGAGGTGGCGGTGGGGGGTGGTAGTGGAGGGTGGTGGTGGGGACTGTGGGGGGTAGGGGTGGTGGGGTGGGGTGGTAGGGGTGGTGGTGGGTGGGAGGGGATGGTGGGGAGGGTCGTGGAGGTGGTGGGGGGGGGGGGAGCGTGGTGGGGGTGGTAGGGGTGGTGGGGGGAGGGGTAGAAGTGGTGGTGGATAGATGGGGGTGGTGGGGAGGGTCGTGGGGGTGGAGGTGGTAGGGGGTGGTGGGGGGGTGGGGGAGCGTGGTGGTGGTGGGGGGGGTGGTGGTGGTGAGGTGGAGGGGGGGGTCAAGGGTCAACATGGGTTCAGGGGATGGAGCCAGCAAGTACCCCACAAAGACAGAACTAAACTAAAAACTAACTCCGCTATTTTATATTTTATTCCACGGCTCACCGAGCTGTTACGTGGCTATTTTTTCAGAAGCGACTCTGGCCATCACGAGTGCTAGCTCAATAAAGTGGCTCGCCGTGTGGGCATTCATAGCAGCAGCCAAAAGGTCCCACAGGGAAAAATCCACGCGACCACGGGGAGAGAGAGAGAGACGCAGACTCCAAATATACAGCAGCAACAGGCGTCGTCAGGGTCGGGGTCGAACCCACGACCTCTGTATACCAGGCGAGGTAGTCAACATCTAGCCACTGTGATGATTATGATGAGAGAGAGAGAGATCCCCCCCCCCCCCCCCCGTATAACTTAAACGCACTGCTGGGGCAAGTGCTGTTAGCGAGTAGCAGCAACACTGTGGCACACTGAGGGGGTGGGTGGCCAGCACCACGCCCCGGCCGCCTGCGTCTCCCCAAGCGGCGATGTTTTACTGCACACCGCCACCAGGTAACTTCTTCTTGGTTCTTTCGGTAAAGTCACGTAGAAGGGAAATAATAAAATAAAAAAAACATGATAAAAAACATTAATTGAAAATTTTATTATTTCCCTTCTACGTGACTTTACCGAAAGAACCAAGAAGATGAATCCCTGCAGTCACGAAAGCTTTAAATCGAAATTTAACCAGGTAACTTATTTGAGGCCGAGTCGACCTAGGGGAGGAGGCGCCCGGACCGGTCTTAGATAATCGTCACCGGCGGTCGCTGGATCGGCCTCCCCATTTGCATCGGCTGTACCGGACAGACATTTCCCCGGCGAAGCCTGGGGAAAGCTTCTCCAACGGAGGAGGAGAAAGGGGGGAATGTTGTATACTGCCTGGCAGGATCTTCCATGGCTTCACACGGAGGGGGAGGCCCCTCTTGGTCAAAGAGGGGCATCACGGTGGCCACGCTAAGACGGGCGGACGGACAGACGATCAGTCGGACGGTCAGACGGACGGATGGTGGGACAGACGGTGGGACATACGGTCAGACAGATGGACAGAGGAACAGACGGACAGACGGTGGGACATACGGTCAGACAAACGGACGGACGGAGGGACAGACGGACAGACGGTGGGACATACGGTGGGACATACGGTCAGACAGATGGACGGATGGAGGGACAGACGGACAGACGGACAGACGGTGGAACAGACGGTCAGACAGACGGACGGATGGAGGGACAGATGGACAGACAGATGGACGGATGGAGGGACAGACGGACAGACGGACAGACGGTGGCACATACGGTCAGACAGACAGACGGATGGAGGGACAGATGGACAGACAGATGGACGGATGGAGGGACAGACGGACAGACGGACAGACGGTGGCACATACGGTCAGACAGACGGACGGACGGACGGACGGACCGTCGATGGGACAGACAAACAGATGGATGGATGGAGCGACAAACGGACGGAGGGTGGGACAGACAGTCAGATGGACGAACGGACGGTCACAAGGACGGATGGACAGACGGTCAGACACGCACTTGTCCATGTCGAGCCCACTGATGGCCGCGTGGAAGTTCTCTGCCGCAGCCGTGAAGTTGTCGATGGCCTGGAACAGTGACGCTGCAGAGCAAGGTGGGGGGGGGGGTAGAAGGGGGTCAGCGGGTTCAGAGGTCATGGCACCCTCCTGACCCCGGGGGGAGCAGCACCGCGGCTACTTTTCACTTCGCTAGCGACGTCGGCAACACAACGAGCGCCGCCGGTACCGATCATCGCCGACAAACCCGTCCCCTGGCGAGGTAGTTAATATCTGATGATGATGAGAGAGAGAGACACGCAAACTACAAATATACAGCAGCAGGCATCGTCCGAGTTGGGATCGATCCCACGACCTCCTGTATACCAGGCGAGGTAGTTAACATCTCCGAGCCACCGTGATGATGATGATGATGAGAGAGAAAGACACGCAAACTACAAATAAAGCAGCAGGCATCGTCCGAGTTGAGATCGATCCCACGACCTCCTGTGTACCAGGCGAGGTAGTTAACATCTTATAGCCACCCTGATGATGATGAGAGAGAGACACAGACTCCAAATATACAGCAGCAGCAGGCATCGTCAGGGTCGGGATCAAACCCACGACCTCCTGTAAACCAGACGAGATAGTCAATATCTCATAGCCCCAATGTCACCCCCATCCACCCGGCGCTCACCAAACCCGGCCACGACCTCCTGTATACCAGGCGAGATAGGCAACATCTCATGGCCACCGTGATGATGATGAGAGAGAGACACGCAGACTACAAATATACAGCAGCAGCAGGCATCGTCAGGGGTCGGGATGGAACCCACGACCTCCTGCGTACCAGGCGAGGTAGTTAACATCTCCTAGCCACCGTGATGATGATGAGAGAGAGACGCAGACTCCAAATCTACAGCAGCAGGCATCGTCAGGGTCGGGATGGAACCCACGACCTCCTGTATACCAGACGAGATAGCCAACATCTCATAGCCACAATGTCACCTTCCACCACCCCCGGCGCTCACCGAACCCGGCCGCGGCCTCCACCCCGCGTGCCAGCGCCACCGCGGCGACGGCCTCGGCGTGTGCCCGCAGCTGGGGACCGTAGTCGCGGCAGTCGAGGGGCAGCAGCGGCGCCGTGGCCAGGGCCAGCGCCAGCAGGCCCCGGACGCGCGCCACGGCGAGGTGGCGCGGGAAGCCGCCGTCGTAGAAGCGCTCCACCAGGTCGAAGGTCTCGGACGCGCTGTGGTAGGCCGGGTAGCCGCTGTAGCGGGCGCCACGCTGCGCAGAGACGGGGCGGGGGGGGGGGGGTGAGGGAGGGTGAGCGGGAAGGTGGTGGTGGTGGGGGTGGTGGTGGTGGTGGCGGTGGTGGTGGTGCTGGTGGTGGCTGTGGTGGTGGTGGCGGTGGGGGTGGTGGCGGCAGGGGTGGTGGCGGCGGTGGTGGTAACGGTGGCGGTGGTGCTGCTGATGGTGGTGGTGGCGGTGGTGGTAACGGTGGCGGTGGTGGTGGTGGCGGCGACGGTGGTGACGGTGGTGCTGCTGGTGGTGGCGGTGGGGGTGGTGGCAGTGGCGACGGTGGTGGTGCTGCTGGTGGTGGCGGTGGGGGTGGTGACGGTGCTGCTGGTGGTGGTGCTGGTGGTGGTGGTGCGTGCCGCCGTGAGCGGGCACCTTGTTCTTGGTGTAGCGAGCACGTGCCGCCGAGATTCCCAGCCGCTGGAAGAACGCCTCAAAGTCGCTTCCGGAGCCCAGCTTGTTGATGCTACCATCGCCAAACAAAGACAAAGGTGTCCCGTGTAGCTTTAACGGACTGCCGGGGCAAGTGCTGTTAGTAGCG